GCAGGCAATGTGCTTATGAACCCCGGGGGTCCGTACATGACCCATGCTCAACCAACGGCAATTACTGGAGCTTCGTCTAGCATGGTTCCACATCAGACCCAACCTCCGTTGCAGATGGTTTCGTCTTCAGTTCCACAGTCGATTCCGGACCCTAGGGTGCAATGGTTTCCTCCCAGAATCCATGCGTTCCTTCCCCGTGAGGGTTGGAAACCAGCTGCTGAGTTTTGGGTTCACATTCCGGAGTTGCAATTGGAGGATGATCTTTACGAAGAGCGTCGTAACGTTTCTGTTATGCACGGATTTGTGGAATATGTGTTTGCAGCCCAACCGGTTTTCAACACTTTGCCTGAACTTTGCGATATCCAGATTTGGGAGCAGGGCAAGCTGGTGGATTTCTCCACCTACACAAAGTGGCATCGTTTGGGGCCAGTGGTGAGCCTTCTTCGATCTCGAATTTTGCACAGTTCTGGACGTAGACGGACCATTGATGAGGTTTTCGTTCGACAATGGGTTCCACAGGATGCCAACGTACATGTGGTTCCCATGATCATGGAGTATCTTTGGTCCTTGGTTGAGCAAGCCCCACCTGAAAATCCCACTTTGTTGGTGCACTGGACGGCTATTGCCCAAATTTTGGACATTAGCGATACTGTCCACAGGGTTCAGTCGGTTGAAGTCAAGGACCTTAACCCCAACGCTAGCCCACGGTGGGCGATTATAGTGTGGCTGGACCAGCCAAAGACGATGCGCCGACCTGATGCATTCAGTCATTTCTTCTGGATTGCACATAATACGACCTTTGAGGCTTCGGTTCATTTGCTAGCCACGGGTCAGTTTCGGCCCACACGGTATCAGATAGCTGATCCCCAGTGGCAACCACCCATTAGTTTCTACACCCGTGCACACCCACATCAGTTGGATGTGGCACTAAACCAAGCCGCAAAATATGGCGGATGGAATCACCCCACCCGGCCCTTTTCCATTTTAGGACGTGCCGCGGGCCGGCAATTAGAGCATACTAGGATTGCACAGGGTGGCGTAGAAGCAGACATAGCAGCCACCTTGATGCACGATGTAGTACGCGCTCGTGATGGGCGCTGGTGCGTCAAGTGTTCCTGCACGGCAGCTTACGGGCTTGCCGTCTACCTGTAGGAGCATTCTTTTTCACCTACTACTCGTGTTTAATTGCTGTATTGACAGCCCCAATTGGATTGCCGTCAAATCCGACAACAAGCATTGCTCCAGGTTTCAATGTCTTTTGTTGTAAGGAGGGTGTCTTGTAGGACCATTGGTAACCAGACGGTACTGATGCGACTAACCCCACCTTCTGTTGTTGTCACCGAACCCCGGTTTAGGGGAATTGCCAAACTTTCGCCCGACTGCTATACCGAGACTTGCTTCATGTTTTTCGGGTTTCTTTTCTTTTCTTTCGTGTTCAGGGTTTGCTTGTTTGGACGGGGGTTTTGTTCTTTACGGGTTGATTGTGTTGGATCGGACCTCTGTTCCTTTTTGGTTTGCGATGCATTAGTTCGTTTCGAGTGAACACGGGTAGGCTTCGTTGGGTTCTATGAGTTACTATGAGTCGTTCTGAGGGACATACATTGGATCTGTTGGGTTCCAAAGAAAGTTTTCTTCATTCTTTGACTTTGGCGGCATAAGAGAAGGTATGGCTACCATTTCTTCAAAGGGTGGGATTTCGGACTTATAAATGTGCTGTTGGAGACCGATCGACGATTTGCCCCTTGGCTCAACAATGCAACACAATAATGTGACATTCGGCCTCAGTTCCCTTTGACCTGTAGAGTGGTGGTTTTGACCCTGACCTTTTTCCCGTAGATTGAGTTGATAGTATGGAACGTTCTCCGGCTGACAGAGATGCATTGGCTGCTGAATTACTTCGGATTTTGACAACCGCTAGTACTCCATCGGGATCTTCCAGTGACTCGGAATCCATTGATTTGAATGGCCAAGAGTTCCGAGAGATGTTGGCACGGTACATCGAACTTACGGACCAAGCCCTCCATGAGATGCGCACCCGTATTACCTCTTTGGAGAACATTGTGTCACCTCCCTAGAACACCTCGGTGGAACAGACACCTTACATCTTTGGTTACATGCTGGAGACTTGCCCCACAGCCAAAAATTGCCCGACCTGATGTTCTTGAATAGTTTCCACACCATGCATGGTTTCTTAATTCACGCCGAGACCGTACTGTTTGGACTTTTGTTCTAGCTTGACCGGACTTGCGGGTTTGCTGGTTTTTTCTGGTCTTGCGGGGTCGGGGGGTTTTTGTTAGTTTGAACTTTGGGGTTTTTCCACCTTTCTCTTTCCTTTCCCTTTCTCTTTCTCTTTCCCTTTCCTTTTCCTCTCTCTCTCTCTCTCTCTCTCTCTCTCTCTCTTTCTCTTCCTTCTCGTTCTCTCTCTCTCTCTCTCTCTCTCTCTCTCTCTCTCTCTCTCTCTCTCTCTCTCTTTCTTTCTCACTCCCTTGGGTTAGTTGAATAATTTCTTGGCGTGAAGTGCCTTCTTCGCGACGTGGCGCCACTTGGCATTTTAAGTTGGTGACATTTAGGCTCTAATTCCCCGCCTTATCTTTCCGTTTGGTTTTGTCCCATGACTGATACTCCGGATCGTCCTTACAGTTTCTCTGACTACGACCGAGTGGCCCTTTGGGAGATTGATACCAAGTTGATGGAACATCATGCTAGGATTCGACGGACCGTTACCTACATGGAAAGGTTGGACTATCAGATTGGTCTGTTACAGCGAGATGTTGATCGGTTTCGCGAACGTCAGGCTGTTCCCCAACCCTCCTTTCATTCTTTGCAGCTGGAGATTGAGCAGTTACACCAGTCCATTTTTGCCCTTGGTTCCATGATTGCACTTCAATTTGATATGCTTCGCCGAATGCAGGAGGCTTTCCAATTACATTCAGATTCTGTCATTTGGACTTTGTGGCTTCGGGGGATTCACCTACATCCTCCCTCTCCTCACCCTCCTCCAGTGACACCGTCCTTAGCTGTTAGGAGAGGACATCTTCGTATGGCCCGTAGATCTCCTTATTGATGCGATTGGCGTCACTTGAGACAAAAGATCAATGGTATCTCTAGGGTAAAATATATCCACCTCGCTGCGGCGGGGTGTGTGTGTGCAACTAGAAATTTACCACTAGTGACTGCGGTCCATGAAGTACTTGAACATTCACAGCAGGGGGACCATCCAGTTGCTATGTGCGATGGTCCAACGAAGCGGCCATAGCAACTGCGGATACCAGGGCTGATCACCCTGGCGTACCTGCGATGGGTATACTGTTTGTGACATCATTCATCGTACAAGCTGTACATGGTACCGAATCCTGTGTTCCTCATCGCTGTGCAGACCCAAAGATGAGTACTACCCCATAATAATAATGATAATCTTCGGTGACTTTGCTGCATAAAAGTCTCTTGGCTTGGAAGTGGATTGTCAGAAATTTACCCGTGGAAGTGTGTGTGTGTGTGTGTGTGCGTGTGCGCGCGCGCCTAAGAATGGCGCCATTTGTTAGCAGGGGGCATGCGGCCATCATGCAAATGGCCAACGAAGCTGTGCGTGGAAGCCATGTCCGATCAAGCTGGTATCAGCTTGTTTGTCTTGCCATTTGCAAGTGCGTGCCTGTGTTCTTGGTTTCTGCGAGCAATGAATGCGTTTGGGCATCAAGTGGCGCCGGGCCTCCAAGTCCCAAAAGCTCTCGGGAACCCCAGTCCATTGCTTTGCAGCATGCGCTGTGTTCAGGGCACTCTGCAGCGTGCCATGCTATGCCGTGCAGCAGCATATTGCAGTGAGTACCATAAGTACCAGTAGCACATTGGCAGGCGCCTGAGCGCGATAGCTCATGGTGCGAGATTCTAAACTAGACTTTGCCTGGAATGGTGTCATCGCAGTGTTTGGCTTGGTTGGTTGTTCTTGGCATCTGCTCTGCGCCGCGGTCTGCCCACGTAGGTGGGGAAGGCCATCAGGGTGAGACTGGGAAAGTCTGGCGGAAGTTCTCCCTCCCCCACTGCTAGCCACTCTTTTCTTTTTTTCCCATGTCGGATGTTGTAGGAGGCTACATCAAGATGGCCGGCGGCTGTGCCACATTTTGCGCTAGAATCTCAGACAGGCACAGCATAGTTGCATCCGAGAGTGCTTCGCAATACCTGCGCAGACCATCCTCTCTGCTGTAGCTGTTCCCGTTCTGATCTTCTTCGGCTTCCTTTGCTCCGTGGGGCGGCTTGCCTGAAACCGGTGATTTTGTTGGCGATGTTAGCTGCAATCTAGGGCTCGCCGGGCCAGGTCGCCAATGATGGAGATTCCAGAGGACACTGGGGCCGAAGACTACATTGGGATATCTGCACAGATTCAACTAGTGCAACGCGACAGTACGGCCAGGAGAAGAAGCCCGAGGCTGGTCAAGGCTGCTACATGGCAGCGGCGCTGTATGCAGGGGCCTGAAGGTCTATTCTCCAATGTTCGAAACCCTGTCCCCACTTCGAAGCCGAAACGTTTCATTGAGGCTGTGACGGGTATCTATGCATACAATAAGGCTCGCCAGTGCCCCAGACCAACCGGATGCAAATGAAGCGTGGCTTCCATTAGGCTGCCAAGTCATGAACGCCCCTCCGCAAAGTGAGCTCCGGTGACACGTGTACAAAAGCAGCAAGGCGCCCCTAGTGGAACAAGTGGTAGCCTCATGTGATTATGCAGATTTTGGGCCCCCCCCACCCGCGGTGCAAAAGAAGGGCATCCAACGCAGTTTCGTTTTGCTTGCCTCTCTCCCCAGCAGTCGCCATCCAATCAGCGCAAGCCTCGCTCAGAAGTGCAAACTCAGCTACGAGCCTTGTGGGAGCCTTGCTAAGCCCCCCAACCCCAAGGTCCCCCAGTCTACCCAAAGCATTGTTTTTGCAGGGAGCTTGAGTATCGTTCAGCAGGCCTAGGGGCCTAGAACTACTAGGGCCTGGGCCTCAAAAGTCTTGGATGGTCTGCGATGCTTTTCGCATGGCGGGCCCCAGTACAGCAAGTGCTTCGGGTGCTTCGAGCCTCGCCGGCTCAGTGTGGCAGCTGTCGGTGGACCAGTGCTTTGATCCGGCGGCGGCGGCGGGCCTTCCACCGTGCCTTGGAGGACCCCCACGTCAACCCAGCCAGGCTCCAGAAGCTGCGTGAGAGATCCGCCAGGCCATCGCGCGGCATGCTTCGGTACTTGGCCGAGAACAAAATTGGCCGAGTGCAGACGCAGGAGGATCGAAAGAAGCTTTGGTATGAGCACAGGTATGTTCGCTATGCTCCCAGCTTCATCGGCCAGATTAAGCCGAAAATGCGGCTTTGGACTGCGGCGCTTGAGGAGTCGCAGCTGCCGCTTGCGCGCCTACCAGAGATCGCGGTGTGCGGACGGTCGAACAGCGGCAAGTCCACGCTCCTGAACTACCTCTGCGGCCAGGAGAGCGCCAACGTGCGCAGGTTTCCGGGCAGCACGACGGAGCTGGTCTTCTGGAAGGTGGGTCGCCCTGCGCAGCTCTGCTTGGTGGACTTGCCAGGCTACGGATATGCGGAGGCATCGGAGGAGAAGAGGCTCCAGTGGACGGAGTTCATGCTTTGGTACGTCCGAGCACGCAAGAACTTGAAGCGCCTGCTTCTGCTGGTTGACGCCCGCCAGGGACTGAAGCCCTCCGACCGTGAGATGATTGCATACTTGGAAAGACACAGTGTCCCATGGCAGATCATTGTCACTAAGTGTGACAAAGTGCCGAGCAAGGACATCGCCAGGCGGCTTACAGTTTTGAAGGAAGATCTCAGACAGTACAGGAAGATGGCTGGCGACCCCCTTCCAGTTAGCGCCTTGAAACGGCGGGGTATGGACATGCTCCGCGACATCCTCAACCAAATGAAGGTGGCAAAGGAGATGGTGAAGGAGGGCATCCGACTCAAGGTCTACGATCTTTTAGAGCAGAGGAGGATACGGAACCGGGAGCGGCGGCGCCGGAAGAGCGAGAAGAAGGAGGCGGCTACAGCATCTGAAGAGGGTGCCGCTGGGTCGCAGGTCAAAGCTGATGTCCAGGCCGAAGATGCTGTGCCCGGGACAGAGGATGCACCCGACATGGATCTCCACCAGCTGTTGGGAAACTGGACTTCGCAAGCACCTGCACGGCAAGATCAGGAAGGGTCACGCATCCAGCATAGCCCAGTCGTTTCCAAAGCCTTCTTTTCTGTAGATGATCGAGACACGAGGCGGGTAGATTCGTTCATGTCATCCTTGTTCCCAGATCTCAGTGAACTGCGTGCCATGTCAGCCAGTCCTCATACTGTCCACTACCCACCCGTATCGGCTGGCGGAGAAGGTGGTGACATCACCCCCACCATGTGTGCAGTCGACAACCTTGCTGCAGAAGCTTCCCAGGCTGAAGAGGACCCTCTAGCATTCAGCGACGAGGCAAGTGACGATGAAAGTGATGAAGGTGAGGAGTTGGACGTCAAGCCAGAGGTGCGCCGTTTCGACTTCCACCACTCCGGGGAGACGTCAAGAAGTGGTAAAGGTCCATCCCTGTTCCCGGGACTGCGGGCCGAGAAGCGAGACTCCGAAGAGGTTGGCTTGCTCAGAGGCCAGCAAGGCCAGCAAGGCCGCCCACGGGGAGACAAGATGTACACGGAAGACGACTTCGCCTCGCCACAGGACTACGCGGCAGGCTTCCGGCGCTGGGCGCCTGCCGCACCCGCAGGCCTCGGGCTCTTGCACTTTGCTTTCGGTTCCCTGTTGTCTGCAATGACATAATGGCAAATAGTAAATAGTACTTTTCTTGAGCCGCGTTCTCAACTCGACTCTGATCATTCAGAAGTGAAGTGCCAAACAAACTTGGTCGTCGCCACTGGATCTGGGTTCGTGTGTGGAGCAAGGTAGTCGCGAGGGCTTCAAGAGGCCTTTGCTTGTCTAGGCATCCATGCGCCTCCCCATCCCTTTTAAAGATGGCTTTCTTCTGGTGATTGCTTACCGTTCCACGAGCTAGGGGACTAGTCTGGTTGTCCGGGATGTGCTGAGAGGGCCCAGAGTGAGAGAGAGGAGAAAGCAGGACGAAGGGCAGTTTGAGAGCTCGGTGCATGAAGCCAAAAACCCGGCTTGCCATCAGAGATGCAACCCCGCAACAGTGTCCAGACAAAACTTTAGCCGTTTGCCTGTCGTCAGATACTGCGTGCTGCAGGATGCTAATCATATGCTAATTGTTGGGGGGAAGTGCCTAGAAGCTCTGGCGCCACAAGTGCTTCGTTGAGGTTTTTGCCCATGGTAGTCAGCAGCAGCAAACTGACGTCATAAATGCTGTATGACTTGGATGCCAAGAGACCCAAGAACACTGCAAGTGGACCTGTGTGTCGCATGATGTTGATGTTGCCTGCTTCAGGGACGCCGGGCAAGTTCATGGCTGAAATCCGCCAGCGCTATGAACGTGAGTGGTCCATGGAGCTGGAGGACGTTAGCCACAGCGCAAGGGGAGCCCCAGACACCCAGTGGTCGGAGCGGGCTGAGACTCCGGAGGCGCGCCTTTCGAAGGACGCGAAGGACGGGCAGGACGCGAAGATGCCCCTGATGCCCTTTGTGACGCAGAAGGGGTTGAAGCCGATCCCCAAAGGCCATGAGAAGAAGAAGATCTTGGGAAAGCCCCCTGCCCGAATCTTGAAAATGAAGCGCAGCACGGACGTCTTGAAGGCCTTGAACCTGAAAGCACGAGATCGGACCAGAAAGCGCAACACTGGTACAGGCTTGGAGTGGGAGGAAGCGAAGGACAAGTGGTTGACGTGGTACTCTCGTAACAAGTCCAAGAACTGGCACAGAGTTAGCGAGGCAGACTCGCCCATGAAAGAGGATGTGGAAGCCGAGTACGAGACGTTTCAGGAAAGGCGGCGACAGCGTGCTGCAAATCTGCGACAGGCCCGGCACAAAGGTGGCCGTGCACGGGATGCAAATGCGCCACGTGACGAAGCAGCTCTGCCTGAGTGGGCTGGGCGAGATGAGTGACCGTCCTGGCAAGGACAGCTTGTTGCTTGCAAAAGTGGGCTTGACGTGCCAGAGCAGATCTGCAGTAGGTGCCGCAAGCTGCACATGGTTTTGTATAGTGATTCTGTGATGTTTCGGCTTAACCGACCAGGCGGGCTGGCTTCTTAGCATAGCCCACGCATTTCAGGCTTCCCGGTCCACACCTGATCCAGTCCTGCACTTGGACTGTTTCATCTTCCATGACATCAATACACATATGTATGTATGTAAGCATCTATGTGTATTTCTCCTCTCTGAGCTTGGATGACGACACTCATGCAACTGGAAATGTGCTATAGCTTCAGGATCGCAGGCAATGATGTGCGACTTGGCCAACGTACCGGATGTGAGTGCCAATCTTTGGCATGGGCTTGATGACAGCAAGGCCCGCCATGTGCAGAGAACTGTGCAACTATGAGCTGCAAGATTCTGTTGATCATGAGTTCTGCTGTTTCAGTGGTTGCAGAGGCTATAGCAGGCTATTTGGCTGAGCCAATGAAGGCATTGGCGTTATATGGCCTGGAGTCGCCCTTGAGAAGTCGCAGCCGACACTCCTTGGCTGAAGCCAGGTGCCGCTGCCGCAAGGCGAAGGGAAGAAGCAATCCGAATTTGGCCAGGTTCTTTTTTTATGACAACATATGACAACATGCACGCGAGATCGAAATTTTGCTTGTATGACTTTTTGTATGGTATCCGTGCCAAGAACTTGACCCCACGGGTGCGTTTGCTTCTTGGCTGCTGCAAAGGCCAAGTCTTCATCCCCATGCCCAGCCCACGGCTTCTGGCAAAGCTCCCACTTTGCGGCCTTGCGTTCCGCGCATCCTGAATCCTGAGGCCCCAGTGCCCAGATACCGGCAGAGTACTGCGTTTCCAGGCCTGAGCTTTCACCAACCCGAGAGACCTCTCACCGACACCGACACCTCAGCTGCTGTGAGGATCCCATTGACGAGGCAAGGTATTCGGATCTCTTCGATGCAGCGCCTGAATCACCAGGATCTGCGGCTTGGTTGCATGATGTGACATGGTCCATTGGCACGGCTCAACCCATGCGAGGCTGCAAAGGGTCAGCTCTGCCCGAGGTCGTTACCCGTGGAGGCAGCAGGGTCTACTTCCCTCCAGGCAGGGAGGGTTGTCAGTGGTCTGTGTCTGTACTGCTTCAGCGTGGCTGTGCTTGCCCCAGCATGTGCGAGTTAACCGCGTGAGACAGGTTGTTTTTTGAGGGTTGGAAGAGGTAGCTGTGTGACATCAATGTGATCGCTGCTAGCGACAGGCAAAATAGCATTCCGGCAGATCAGTGCCTAGGTCCTGAAAGGGGCAGTTGTTTCTTGCCTGAATGCTTGTCTATTCCTAGGCCATTGCTTGTTGTTCATGGTGCGTAGGAGTGGTGCGGGCAGGAGCGGGGCGGGCACAGTGACCAACATGTGTCTGACTGTCAGGAACATGTCAGGACGAAATCCGACATTCAAGCGCGATCGGTATGCCAAGTGCGCCCTTCGCATAAGATTCATTGTCGACCCGCTCGAATAGAGGGTGCCGGCAAAGGGGGCGCGTTAAAGTCTGGACCGGCTTGCGCGCCTTGACAGTCTTTGAGGGTCAAGGACGCTAAGAGGGGCAGGGCACTCAAGGCGGTCAAGAGCGTCAAGAAGGTCGAAACGATCAAGAAGATCAAGAGGGTCAAGAGGCTCAAGAGGCTCAAGAGGGTCAAGAGGGTCAAGATGCCTTGGACTCAAGAGAGCCAAGAAAATTGCACGACCGAAAGGACTGACCCGATATGGAAACTTTGCTTGCCTTCTCTTGGCTGAAAGGCAGGGCCTTTTTTAGTCTTAAAGGCCGGGCCTTTTCATTTCAAAACGTTGGCCTTTTCATTTTGGAGGCCGGCCTCTTCCATCCCAACAGGCTTGAAAACAATAATTCCCTAAAGCATCATGTGAACAGTTGATCGAGACCAAAGGGGTGGTCCATTTTCCTAGAATGGAGCAGGATTTTGGGACCCTCTTTAACGTCCTACCCCTCGGGCCCGGGCTGTGGATTTGGATTGGTCGGCTTAATGGCCAATTGGGGGGGTCCTTAATCTTCAGGAACTCTGGCTCAAGGCCTCTCGGCTCTAGACCCCGGGCCCGAACGATGGGCACTCTTTTGGGGATCCTCTTTACCGTCCTGACCCCCAGGCCCACTGGATTCGAAAAATCAGATGGATGCCTTCTGAAATTCATATAAGCTCGTCCCTCTAAATCATATGGACCCCTATTCACATACACTCACCTCTTGTAAAACCATATGCATCCCTTGCAAAACTCATATAAGCTCATCCCTTTATAACCGTATGGATTCCCTTTAGTCTCACACAATAAGCCCAGCCCTTTTGCAATCATATGGACCCCTTTTAAATTCATACAAACTCATCCCTCCTAAAACCAACTTCATATAAGCTCCTCCCTATTCAAATCATATAAAAACCCGTGGACCGTTTGAAGAGGGACAAAAACAGCTTCGACTGTTCGGGGGGTGGGCGGCAGGCGCACTAAAGTGGGTGCAACATGAAGCCATAAGCTTTGCATGTCCCGACGGCCAGAGCCTTGACGTTTGGCTGCAGGTTTGGACCCTCCTGTCAATCACCCAGACTTGCGCGTGCCATTCAAATTCCCAAGCATGCCTTCCCATAGGGGGCCATTCGGAGTCTGAGGTGAACACCCCGAGTCATGGGTCCACCCTCCATGCCGAGGGAAACTGCGGCCTCCAAGCATTTAGACGTTCTGGTTTGACATGTCATCATGTTGGCCTAAAATGGAGTGGACCACTGCAGTCACTGCAAGCCGTCTGCGAAGCCTGGAGTCGGGTCCAGGCAAACCCTGCGCTTGGTTCTGGAAACCGGGCTCTTGCCAGAATGGAGTCTCCGTTGCAAGAGTGTTTTTGTTTGTATGTGCTTGTGTCGCAATTCCGACTCTTTCTGGGGGTTGCGGCGGCCAGGCAAGGACTGCATGCACTGCCACCTGTGCCCCAAAGATGAGCTAAAGATGAGGAAGAAAGCCAAGCAACCTGCCTAAACATTCATTGTCGCGACTTGCCGTGTGGAGGTCCATCTGGTCATTGGGGAGGGAGAGAGTCAGAGAGAGAGAGAGAGGGAGGGAGAGAGAGCGCGAGGGAGCGAGGGAGCGAGCGAGGGAGGGAGCGAGAGAGCGAGGGAGCGAGCGATGGAGCGAGCGAGGGAGGGAGGGAGGGAAGGAGGGGAGGTAAGGGAGAGTTGCAGCTCCTTCCTTGCTAAGATGCTGTTTAGGTTGAGCACGGGGAGAGATGTAGCGATGCCTAGCATGAACACGGCGCTGTGGTATGACGTCCTTCTTCTCTGTGTACCAAACGTTACAACTCCTTGACTCCTTGAGTGCCAAAACCTGGGAAAGGCGACAATCTTGATTCAGGGAGGGCAAGAAGAATCGGGACGGTAATCTTTGCATTCCACCGAGCTCATATGCATGTTTTGCCGATCCAAATCCAGGACATTTCACGGCTTTGTATCTCTACAGGGGCTTTTCATGATGTTGCTTCGTGTCGCTCGTTCTGACATAATAACAACTACCTACCAAAATCACGTGCAGCTATCGGGGAAAGGATCGACAGTTTCACATCTACGGATGCCCGAGTCACTGGAGCAGCAGCCAAAGCGTGTGGGGTGAGTGCAACCCGGATGAGTGATGGAAGTTTTCGGGATGGCGGTCGGCTTGGGGGGAGCACTGCGCTCTGTGAGCATGCGTGCACTTCGTCTTTCTCACTTGGGTGGACCTTGCACACGGGCGAGCGCTGCGCGCAGGGGGAGGGTTTCGGCATCCAGTAGCAGAAGAAGAGGAGAGTTGGGGGTGGGCGTCTTTCGAGCAGGTTCAGTGATGTTGCCGGTTGCGTGGGTGTCTGGATGTCAGTCCCACAGGTGGCTGTAGCGAGCTCAGCGACCTGGCATCGCGCAGGGGGTTCCAGTTGTAAGGTCACAGGGAGCGCAGCCAGTAGTGTTATTTGATGGAGGCTGGGAACTGTCTGGCCCAACCATCAGAAGAACAGGGGGAGGGACAATCACTGGCGCTCCTAGGGGCGGGAGCTACGAGTGGAAGGACGGAAGGACGGAAGGACGGAAGGACGGAAGGACGGAAGGACGGAAGGACGGAAGGACGGAAGGACGGAAGGACGAAAGGACGGAAGGACGGAGGGAAGGAAGGACGGAAGGACGGCAGGACGGCAGGACGGCAAGGCGGCAGGAAGGGAGGGAGGGAGGGAGGAAGGAAGGAAGGGAGACAGAACTTACTCGCAAACAGGGTTCATGAGAAGTCGAGTGCAGTGGGTCGGTCACACCACTAGCCAGAGGTTGGGAAACGCGGCAACTGCAGGGGGGGGGACCAGGATTGAGGTGCTGGGGTCGGGTCGATCGAAACCATTGCGCATGCATGTCGCACTGGACCTTCGGAACCAGGAGGGGGAGGGTGCCGGCCCCTTCCGTAATGAGTAGAAGAATACGACTTAAAAAGAAGAAGAGGGAGGGGGAGGGGGAGAGGGAGAGCATGGGACCGTTTCAGCTTCCAGGAGAAGCTTTGGCGTGCACGCTGCACGTGCTCAGGTCGGCCTTCATGCGATTGGGCGTGGGCCTTTGCTCCCCTCTCACCTCTCAAAGAATCCGGAGTCCTGCCTCCAGATAGCTGGAGATAGTTGGAGAGGCTTTGTGCCTCTCTGCACAAAAGCCCGCGTGCACGGCAGGTCTGACAACACCGAAGCCAGATGCCGAAGAAACGGCAGCTGTTCAGCTGGCTTTGAGTGCGCCACCGGTCACATTCAATTTTGGAGCAAGACTCGCAATCAGCCTGACGCAGTTCAGGCAGTTTTTGCATGTCGCCGAAGGCAAAGGAAAAGGCGGGGGGGGGGGGGGGCTGGGCATTGAGAACAGCTGTTTGGCTTCTGAACGGGTGTGCATATTGGCAAGGGAGGGCATGTGGTGCTGTGTGCTTTCATCTCAACACAGGGCGACTTCTGCGAAACGTCCGAGCAAGGCGGACGAAGCTTGAAGCAGCACTACTTGGCCTCTGCTGAAACCGAGACCGCAATCCTGTCAGGATCGACGGTTGCAACAGCGTCTGAGCGCGAATATTCGGATGCATCTGCAAGCCCGAGACAACCCCTAGCAGGTCGGCTGTGCAAAGTGGCCGTGCCGAGAGCGCTGTTAGGGATTTGCAATGATTTGCAGCAGATGTTTGATTTGCAGGTGAAGCACTGACCGAGGCAGGAGAGCACAGCTCGCCGGGGGGCAGCTCGTGCAGTTCGCGCAGTTCGTCTGCGTTTTCTGATCATTTTCTATTTGCCCCTCTCTGCCCCATCTGCCCAGATGCCAGTGACGAAGCTGGCCAGTCAGGGAAGCAACTTCCACGGCAACGGTCGATGCCTCAGAGCAAACTGAGTCAACCTCTGTCAGTGAAGTTCCCTTATCGGCCAATAGTTCAGTGGCACTTCGTGCAGGTAACTGCCGCCCGTGCGCCTGGTTCTGGAAGCCAACAGGTTGCCTTAACGGGGAGGAGTGTCGGCACTGCCACATGTGCCCACCTGGCGAGGTGGGGGTGTGAGATGTGTGCGTATGAGTGAGTGTTCTGCCATGACGGGTTCAGGTGAAGAACCGGAAGAAGAACAAGCTTGTGCGCTTGTGATGCTTTGGTTGGGCTCGCATTACGCCTCATGTTCAGCTGCTGCGGAGGCCATGCTCCGACTTGGTTTGGCTACGCCTACGGCAGCGGCCACGAACGCGAAGGCCTTGGCATGGCAGTTGCATGATGTTTTGCTGCGGGCCGCTCCAGCATGCTCCAGGACACCTTCGCCATGGACTCGCCAGCCGCGCGATAGGTCAAGCATTGCCAAGCGTTGCCAAGCATGGTCAAGCCATGTGAAGGATGCGGCTGCAAGCATCCGTCTTTCGAGTTGGGCAATTGGGATCGCACCTGCTCCGATGACTGATTGCCTCCAACCGCAGGAGCCACAATGGAGGAGCCCTGATCTGGTATTTTCTGCCGAGTTGCATGCACGGTGCCTCGCCGAGGGATGGTGCACCAGCTGTCATGGAACAGCTTGCTTGCACAGGCCAAGCTGCAGCATACATCTGCCTCAGTGGGGCACGCGCGCGTGCTCTTTCTTATGGCTGGACTGGAGGTACTCCCGGGCCACATGTGCCCCGAGGGATGTCTCGAGGCCTCGGCCTTTTTAAATTTCTCATCCATCTTTCAAGCTTACCCGCCGCGAGTGCACAGTCTGCACGTGCCACGGTTGAATTTGTCTACCACAGTTTCCATTCGAACCTAAGCATGATGCATGCACTCAAAACGTCTCTGAAATCACTGACTGCCGAGCAAGCAAAATCACATGCAGTCCAAGACTGCTTTTCCATGGGATGGCTTGCCTGCAAACCTGTCGAGTTTTGTTCGATAGGACCAAGAGGACAGGCTCATGCAAGTCTCAAAAGTGCCAGGGTTTGTGTCAGCATGTTCGACGTTGCCAGAAACAGATCTCGGGCTTGTTTTGCTAAGGTCCTGTGTGCCCGCAGACGTGCGAATGCGTCAGTGCCCTGCGATGCTAGGATTCAGTGCTTCACATGATACACAGTGCGCCACATTTGCCTAGCCTCGGTCGGTTGAGGATCGATGTTGTTGCAGTATCTTCCTCCACCTCATGCATCTCACATGGACCATGGGCACAGCGGGAATGGCCCCCTACCGGTTTGGCCGCCTAGCGTGTGGTGCCCACCCCGGCTTCGCCTTTGCGGTATGTCGCACGCGTGGCGCTTGTGCATGCGGCGCTAAGCATTCAGGTGGAGCGACGCCGACGGTGCTCGCCGACTGCAGCACTGGCAACAGTGCCTCACCGCAATCACACCCCAACTAGAACAAGACGTAAGAGAGCTGAAAGCTACAAACCTAGTATCTCGGGCCGAGACTTGGGGTCTGTGCTGTATCACAAAGATGAATATTCTTTTTGGTTTGTTTTGGTGTCCCGGTTCTCTCAAGACTACAGAAATTGGTGTTTTAAGTTATTCTCCTTTCTTTGGTGTTAATTCCCCAGATAGCTTGAGCTATTAGGGGTTCTAGCCAACTAGGCCATTTCGCGTCCGCAGCCGGCGCAGCGGGCACAGCGGCATGCAGTCATGCAGGTGGCATGGGCGCAGAGGCATGCAGGCATGCAGGCATGCAGGCATGCAGGCATGCAGGCATGCGGGTCAAGGTCAAGGTCAAGCCTGAAGGCCCGAAGACGGCCCTTTCAGTGCTCAGGCGAAGACTAAGGCACAACTTCGTCACGTTTCGCGGGTAAGCCCAAAACATCACGCTGCACATTAACTTTACATGGCATGCTCACTCACAAAGAAAACGAAATCATTTGTCAGCGCCAACCATGCAGCTTTGTCGGTGGCCACATCACGCCAATTTCCAAGTTGTTTCCAGCGGTAAAAACGCATAATCATTTCCTCCCATGCGAATATTGGACGGCCTAAAACACGCCGAAGTCCAGGGTTCCAACTTAAAGCGCGCTGAACCCGAAGTTCAGGTGGCAACGAGATAACATACTGTGCCAATTTCCAATGTTGTCGCAGACATCGGGTGGACCATGTGAGGATGTTATCCGCTCGCAAAACCAGTTGGGCTCGAGTATTCCAATCATGTAGATTTTCATGCCACGGTCTGATCCAGTCCATTCCGGAAGGAGCGCCGTCTATCGCATGGCCACATCGCGCTCATGTAAATCATGGGTATATACTTTGCGATGTCCCGCTGCAAAACACGCAATAGGAGTGACCACTGCATGCTTGTCACATAATATCCAGCGATGAGCAAAGAATGCTCTGAAAGCTGCTTGGACGTGGTAACCCACGTCTTCTGCATGAGAACCGTGAGAACTTGCTGCTAACAAGCAACCTAGCCACTTGTGCGTTGTTGCCCGGCCCAAAACATCTAAAGTCAAACCATTCCGGGTCGTCAAAGTGTGTGCAGCTTGAGCTTCAGTTGTCAGCACTTTCGTGTTCGCACAATTCAGAATGAATCCAGCTTCAGCAAGAGCTGCGACAATATCATCCATGATTAAAGCCGCTTGTGCCTGCGTTTGCGGAAACAGCAATATATCATCAGCGAATCTTAGATCAAGCAAGTTCGGCATGCCATCTTGCAAATCGCAACCCATATGTTCTACTCTGCGACGCCAACCGGCAACAACGACTTGCAATACGAAGTTGGTGGGCTCAGTACGCAACCTTGTCGAACCCCAGCTTTGATGGCTGAACTCGTTGCTTAAATCATTTGATCCAATGACCTGGCCTGTTTGTTCATGGTACAACTGTCTCAAGATCCACATTGCATGTGTTGAAACGCCATGCCATTCCAGGGCTTGCCAGAGAGGGGGCCAGTCAATCCTATCAAAGGCCTTGGATAAATCAAGACTGATAATCCACGAAGGGGTTCCTCTGTGCAAAGTTTTGTCCAACACCAAATTTGTTGTAAGCAAATGTTCTTCTGTACGTCTTCCGCCTCGGAAACCGTGCTGCTCTTCAGGTTGTGCAGCCTCTAATGTTGTCTCCACTCGGCCCAACATCAAATACGCAAAGACTTTATACAACAGTGCGGTGTCCGCGGCCGGTGGAGGGGGCGCAGCGGCATGCAGGCGTACAGGCATGTAGGCATGTACTGAGGTGGACCGCTTTTGTATAGCGCGTTATCAGATTTTATCGTGACTTATAAGCCGTAACTGGAACTTATTAGAAATTAAGTAAAGTTAACTTATTCTAGGTCGTTACACGTATTTACTAACTTCTAATATCTTTCCAGCTAACTTACTATAAGTCCCACTAACTTCCCTCATCTTTCTCGCTTGTTTTCATGTCGAGATTGAAACATTTCCTGCCGCAGAAGCGGCGGCCGCCGCTGCATTTTTTCCTCCCCAGATAGCTGTAGCTATTAGGGTTTAGGGTTTAGGGTTAGCTATTAGGGTTCTAGCTTAGTAAGGGCACGTCGCGTCCACGGCCGGCGCAGGGGGCGCAGCGGCATGCATGCAGGCATGCAGGTGGCATGCAGGAGGGGTAGGTTTTTCTTTACCGACACTTACTTAAGCCTCACGAGCGTCGAAGTGGCTGAATTAGCGACGTATCTGAGGATCGATGAAGGGAACGGACACCTGTCAATTCCAATCGTTACTGTGAACCGTGGAAGTCTAAACCGGTCATTGTTTTTGATGCAAATCATTGGGGAGAAAAAAACATGGAAGGCGTTACCGTCCAGCGTTCATTGGGGGTAAGCGGGTTTGTGACGTAGCACGCTGCGCAAATATGGCACACGTGACGCAGTTATCATGAGAAACGCGAGAGAACGCACTGGATCGAGCAAGGCCCTAACACGTAGGACAGGTGATTCAGCTATCATGACAGACGCGGGAGAATGCGCTGGGTCAAGCAGAATCTACAATCATAGCACAAGGGACTCAGCTATCTTGACAAACGCGAGAGAATGCGTCGGATCGAGCAGAATCTTCTAAAATGCACAAGCGACTCAGATATCATCACAAACGCAGGAGAACTCTCTGGATCGAGCAAAGTCCCAATGTATAGACGGGCGACTCTGCTTTCATGACGATCACGGGAGAACACTCTGGGTCAAACAGAATCTTCAGTCACAGTCTAAGGGAAACAGCTATCCTGACAAATGCGGGAGAATACGCTGGTCGAGCAGAGTCCGCTAATATATGGCACAAGCGATTCAGCTGAACATATAGCACAGGCGACTCAGCTATCATGGCAACCATAGGAGAACACGATGTGTCGAGCAGAACCTTGATTCATAGCACGAACGACTCATCAGTAAGCTTGACAAGCGCGGGAGAACACACTGTGTCGAGCGAAATCGTCTAATATGGCTCAATCGACTCAGCTATCATAACAAGCGGGAGAACTCGCTCGGTCGAGCAAAGTCCTAATGCATAGCACAGGCGACTCAGCTATCAGGACGTACGTGGGAGAACGTGCTGGATCAAGGAGTTCAAGACACAATGGATTCAACTGTCCTGAAAAATGGGCCAGCACACTGCGTAAGTTTGGCAAAATTGACGCAGTTATCATGAGAAACGCGAGAGAACGATACTTCCATCATAGCACAAGGGACTCAGCTATCTTGACAAACGCGGGAGAATTCGTCGGCTGGCGCACTGGAACAGAACACAACGATTCTAGCTTTCCTCTAAGCTCTAAATACCAATGCGGCTGTGCTTGCCTTGGTTTACGGAGACCGCTGCAGCTTACGCGCAGCTTACGCGCAGCTTACGCGCAGCTTACGCGCGCCTTACGCACTCCTTACTCTAAAAGACCTTTGCCAGACAGGTCTGTTTGTTCAGGCATCGTGGATATGTATCGTGGAAGGGCCAGGCGGACCCCAAAATGGGCGCATGCCTTCAAAACGCATCTCCGGTAATCGGGGCATCGGTCACACGGAGCAACAAGTATATCGATCTGCGCCAGAAAACCTCAGTACGTGCAGTTCGGTCTACTCACAACCACCCGGGGCTTCGAAGATAGAACGCTCGGTACATGCGCCTCGGTGCGCTCGGTTAGCCAGGGGCTTGGAAGATGAATACCCCGTACCTGCATCTAGGTGTGTTCGGTCATTGCCGCAACGGTACCGTCGTTCGTCTGGGGTTGTCCAAACTTCCCAAGCTCCAAAAAGATTCCCCCCAAAGGCACGGTCACTTGGGAACTTATATTCACCCTAAAACCCAAGCCCAAATCGGCAAACGACGCTTCAGGGAGGCTCCAAAAGGATCCCACGGAGGCTTCAGAAAGGCTCCACAAAGATCCCCCCCAAAGGCAACGTCACTCGGAGATGACCCTAAACGTCATGAATCCCAAATCGGCTCCAACAAGGCACCCCGAGATGCGGTCACTTGGGAACTTTGAGATTTTATAAACAACGTATCAGGCAGGCTCCAACACGCCCAAACATATGATGTTGAAAGCCTTGCAAAAACACACAAAAACCAATTGTGGCCTTGCAGTTTGGTTGTTCAAGCACCGCTTGCAACCGCTGTTGTAATGCTTCTCAACCCCCTGTGCACAGCTAGTGCTGGCACCTCTCTTGAAGACGAGCCCGTAGCATACGCATGAAACCAAGGGGCGCGACACATGTAGGGACGCACAGCCTGGTGGTGCTGTGTGCCGAAGATGGCAAGCGAATTGTTGTAATCACCTTGCGTTCATTGGGGATTCCAAACGAACACTGGATTTCAGCTGCTTTGCCAGGACCAGGTTGACCCTAGCGTTCCTTCGGGAAATTGAGTTTGTACCATGCTTTGGTGCTGTCTAAACGGCACTCCGCCCACAGCGTTCATTGGGGAACTCGGATTTGGTAATGTTTTCTTCGCCTTCGCTTGAACCGGTGCGTTCATTGGGGTTTAGATGTGTTGGGTATGGGTGGTTTCGACTTTCAGTGCCGCCTGTAGCCAAACATTTATCATTCAATTGTACAAGCCTTCTGATACGGCAACGCCAAAACATGTGAAAGGAAATTTCTATTTATTCTCAGAGAGCCTCCCCCAGCTTTCCGGGGTCTTCGCCGGTGTAATGTTTTTTTGTTTTGTCATTTTAGTGCGGTTGTGCCCGGGAGCGACTGACGGTCGCTGCATCCCGTAAACCCTGAAAAACCAAAGGCTGAAAAAAGGCCCCAAACCTGTACTTGAGCTTACATGGTAAAGGGGTGATTTGTTGGGACGCTTAGGCTGCAAACCACCCTCCGAGCCGAGGCAGAGGAGCCTAAGTGGACTTCCGCGTTTCACGCACCTCTGCAATGCGGCGGTCAACGCTGACGCTGGGCAGCAGATCGGCGTTTTTGGGGATCAGAGATGAGAGATGGATCGTAGTTTCGGTGAAGCTTGTATTTAGCGTCTTTGGGCGCTCATATTCAAACTTGAGGCTTCTGTGAGTGCTTGCCATGTATTCAGGAGTACCATCTGACACTGAGGTGCCTCTCCCGCTCGACGAGCGCGTAGGAGACGTGTTGTATTTGGCAGCTTTCCCAGAATGCTGCCTCACATCTCCCACGTTTGCAGTTCGTGATGGTGTGGTACCCTGCTCTAGATATTCCATCTGGCACACTTCGCTGTTATTGTTGGGGAAACTAGGCCCTTCTCATTAGGATCTGGACATGCGCGATGAGGAAGGCATGTTGCCAGGCAGGATGGCCTTGCAAATATGTAAGTATGCCTTTTTGCCATCTGGTGGCTATTTTTCTTCACACGACAACGTGCCAGGCACAGGCACCTGGCTGCGCGCATGCCGCGATCTGCAAAGGGCAGTGGCTTTCGTTGACGGCGCTGTGCTATCAGGTGCTTCGGCTGCAGCATTATCTCCAGGAACACGGAACGCGTCCCGCATTAACCAACCGCATGCTCCCAACTCACCTGGAGGCGGCACCGTTCTGGTGAATTGTTTCGCTGGACTGAACAGATCTGGCGCCATTCTCTTGGCTTGGTTGTTGGCACACCGTAGGAGTGATGGGAGCCTCGGCAACTGGAGCGTACCATGTGCTGTAGTAGATGTAGACAACTGACGACAGCTTGCACATCGCAGGGAGCTTGGCTGAGCCAAGGAGTTGTCTAGGATTTACGGCAGATGGTGCCGCAGCCCACCTACGGAGCTTGGAGCCGTTTGCTCTGAATAACCAGAGCCTGCTGGAATGCGCTTTGAGCTTGGAAGAGACAAAGCTGCATCTGGAAGCTCGGCTTCAGGGAACACTGGAGGCATCAGATTGGCTGTCCCATGACGAGTCAGGATGCATCACTGGCGGCATCGCGCACACAGGACAGCGATGTGGGCCTGTTTGCAGTTGCATGCGGTTCCTGAGCTGCCTTGCAAAGGAGCACTGGATTCTCACAGTCCCAGACAAACCTCGCCAAGCTCCCGCCACAAGTGCGATTGAAGAAGTGGAAGACTCGGAGGATCTCAGACCCTTGATTTGAGTGCGAGAGCTCATCAAGTGACCTCAGACATCGGTTGCGTGCTTCGGAGCTGCGATGCGCGATGTCTGGTGTCTGGTGCCTACCGAGCAGACCACCGCGAGACCGGGTGCGTGACAAAAACTTGCAGGGTTTGCATCCCGTGTTCTCTATTCTGTTGGGATTCGTACCTTTTGCCATTGTCCTCGCAACGCTTGCCACCTCATATGAATCACAATACGTGCTTTCTCCAACGACGCCCATTCTTGGCCCCAGAACTATAGGCAACACAGATGTGTTGCAGATAACGTGCCATCGATGGCCGATCCCGCGAAAGAGCCGGGCAACTGGACGGAGCACACCCACAATGATGGCCGACGGTACTACTACAACAAGGAACCTACAGATCAGCATCGAGTCGTGTGCATGAATCATTACATCTTGATGCATCTCGCGACCAAGATGCGTAAAGTGCAGGTCACAAAGCAGTCCAGCTGGGACAAGCCGGAGTGCTTGAAAAATGCAGATGAGAAGCTGAACACCACCAGCTGGAAGGAGCAGCTTGGATACTTGCTGGCCTTTGTTTCGTTAGCATGAAATGATGGTGAAGTGGAGCTGAGGTACAAAACTGCTGATGGACGGGATTACTACTACAATCCCATCACAAAGCAGAGTGTCGCGCAGACTGAAACAGACCCAAGAAGACTCCCAAACTTAGGGGTTTTCAGACTCAGATGTCCTTGAGAGTCAAGGTCTGGGAGATGCCCGCGGAGTTGAAGCGGTTGAGAGGACTTGCTAAGGAGGATGAGAGTGATGATGCAGCTCCGCGAGCAAAGTAGTGGTAGGTGTGGGAACTTCTAGAGTTCGAGAGTTTGCCGGTGGGCTGCACTCAGAGTAAGGAGAAGGCTTCGAAGCCCAAGAAGCAGGAAGAGCCGGAGTGGAACACGCCGGAGGACAGGCGCAACGCTTTCCGACAGGCCCCCACGGATTGCAGAGGGCCCAGAGTCGGCTTGCAAAACGTGTGAATGACATGGTCATCAAGCTGTTATCAAGCTGTTGTCTGTCGTGGTTTCAAGTCGATGTCTCGTGAAGTCTGGCTTTCCTGTCTCCCGCCCCCTGCCAGTTGCTCGAAGACAAGGGCATCAAGAGCAACATGAAATGGGAAGATGCTTTGAAGCTCATCCAGGACCCCAGAACACTTCGACCTGCCTCTGCGCCCCAGAAATCTCCAGAATTCATTGGCTTTCGACCCGCTTCAGGATTTCAGGGCACTGGTGGCCTAAGGGTTTCGGGTCCTGCTCCGATCTGCTCCGCACATGGCTTAGAAGCGTCGCCGAAGTGATCCCTTAAGAGCCCTCAAGAGCCCGCTTCAGAGGACGACAGAAGATTTGGGGCGCTGACGGCAGCCGGAGAGCGGAAGCAGTCCTTTGCCGAGTACATCACGCAGTCCAAGAAGCGAGAAAAGGAAGAGGAGCGAGAAAAGAGGAAGAAGGCG